CATCTAATCTATTCTAGGGACAATCAATACCTTCAACTTTTCAAATAAGAATCGTCAAGTGGAATTGCAGTCACTCCAGTCTCTCATCAACTTACATAGGAAAAAGAGGCACGTGTTGCGATCGAGTGAGATCATGAGAATGTAACAATTGCTCGTCCAAGGTGTTACTTTTTATGACATTCAGACATTGTAAGAAAATTTTACGACAGCGGAGATGAATAATGAGAAAACATTGATCTAGACTGAGGGTTTTGCTCTTTCAGATGAATCTTAATGAAATGCTCCTCTGCAGTAAGAGATTCTGGCAGGTTCGAGAAAGATTCGTGTGAAGACTTGAGAGAACAGCGAAAAAAGGGTCTCCGTCCGGTGACACCTCTTGGGGCCGGGGATGCCTGAGGTTTAACGAGGTGAGAATGACACTCAACGATCAGACATGGAGAGAAATTAAAAATTAATGACCATGTGACTTTTTCATAAACGATGGGACTAATTGCGATAGTTTGTTGTTGAAATAAAATGTAGAACGTCATAATCATAATAAGGAACGTCGCAATAAAGGTGTCGATTCTCGGTGAATGAAACGGGTCGAAATCCAACCCCTCAGGCGGCGCGGGGTATTGATGGTGTATTGTGATATACACTGAGAGAAAAACGAACAAGTTCTCAAACAAGTCTTGTTTGGGCCAACAAAACCGTTGGGTGAAAATTACCAAAAAAATAATTGTTTTGTTCGAATTTGGAAGTCTCAAATATGAATAATTGCTGCGCTTTCAACAACGGAATATTTGGCTCAAGAGCCGGATCATTCATAGAAGATATGGTGCCTTTTCAAGATAAAAATGTCTTTTATAGAAGGAAGTTTATCAAACAATAATCCCTAAGTTACAAAATTGCTGCCATTTCATTATTATTATTTTATTTAAGAATTCATTGTTTGTCAGTGATGATTGAATAGTCGAAAGGACAAACTATTATAAAATTATGATAAAAACGAGCATTTGCCGGGAGTAAAATACGTATGAGAGCATCGAGTAACGACGAATTAGTGTTAGAAATTACATTTCTTGTTCGCACAGAGAATTTTTTCTTGAAACGACTAAATCTATTTTTGCAATGGAAATTTTCAATGTCCGCGCACGGCTCATCATTTTTAACAAACGATTCATTTGGCACAAGGAAGATTCTGCTGCTCTCTCAGTGTAGATCTATATAGTTTGCAAGTGTATATTGATGTTGCTTCCAATCAATTTATAATTGATTTTGCTTGGTAATTGTTCCAATTTGAGTTGCCATTTTTTTCGGTAAGTTAACTAACTGCGGTCTAGCAAGTCCGAATATGCGATTTTTAGATGGTGTATATGGATGTATGTAGTATTCCTTCTCAACTTTTTAGAAATTTTCTGATCAGGATCAACCATATACCGTCATGAGCTTTTCACATAAAAATCTCTATCTCTATTAAACTCAGGTACTATTCTATTACGTTGAATACTTATTCATATTGATTTATGGTCCCGACTAACTTCTGACAGGACCTGGGGTAAACTCTAACTAAATCCTGAGTAAACCCTGATTAAATCCCAGCTATACGCTGATTAAACCTTGATTGAATCGTGATTAAACCCGGACTGAAAACGAATTCGAGTCTTGAAAGGGTCTAAATCTAGAATTATTTGACAGAACGAAATAATACACAAACTTTTGATGAAATTTCAATTCATGGTAGTACTATGACATGAAAAAATAAAAGTAGAGAATAGTAAAATAAGAATTTTGAAAAATGAATCCATTCGGAAGCAAATTGCTAATTCATTAGCAGCAATAATTATACTCATTTATAAAAAAATGTATTTGTCCCATTGTTTATCCATAAATTGGTGCACACGGTAAAAAAACCACGTGCACCAATTTATGAATAGATAAGAAAAAAGAAATGTTTTCCACCTTAAAACCCGACTAACAAAACATTCAATTTACCTCCGAGCCTCAAAAAGATGTCTGAACTTCAGAATCTACACGTTAATAACGGACTAAACCAACAATTTAACATGCAGAGATATTTCCCAACAACTCAAAAGAAAAAAAATCTCATTAAAAATAAGTATTGAAATAAAAAATCCCCGTTGCAACGATGGAACGATTGACGATAACACTAGCCAAATAACACTTGGCGTCACGCCCCAGCAATTTACCTGGGAAAGAACCCTTCACCCCGAATCGCTGCGCTAATCGCAGGATTAAATGAAAGGCCCATCTACGGGGGAATCCCATACTTATCCCTAATTTCTCGGTATCGCTGTTACTTGATATCCCCGAGATGTGCGAAATTCATTGATAAAATTCACTGGACAGCAATTAGAAATTATTTTCTCAACGGAATATGAATTGCGGGGAATCAAGGTAAATGAACAGAACAAATTCTAAAGGACAGTTCCATGAATTTCCATAATTTTTAATCATTTTAACTGTCATAGGTAGTTGGAATTCTGGACTTGCAATTTTATTCAATTTTCCAGAGATGACCTTTTTTATCAGTAAAAACATGTATGGAAACATATATGAAAAAAAAAAAATTATTATATGTTACTGAAAAGAATTATTATTATTTCAAATAATTGGTTTTTCAGTTTTATAATTATTACATTTTATTATTATTATTATTATTATTATTATTATTATTATTATTATTATTATTATTATTATTATTATTATTATTATTATTATTATTATTATTATTATTATTATTATTATTATTATTATTATTATTATTATTATTATTATTATTATTATTATTATTATTATTATTATTATTATTATTATTATTATTATTATTATTATTATTATTATTATTATTATTATTATTATTATTATTATTATTATTATTATTATTATTATTATTATTATTATTATTATTATTATTATTATTATTATTATTATTATTATTATTATTATTATTATTATTATTATTATTATTATTATTATTATTATTATTATTATTATTATTATTATTATTATTATTATTATTATTATTATTATTATTATTATTATTATTATTATTATTATTATTATTATTATTATTATTATTATTATTATTATTATTATTATTATTATTATTATTATTACACGTAATATGTATTCTACTGTATATCGCCACCGCCCTTCTAACGAAACATATATGGAAACATATGGGAACCCAAGAATAAAAAAAAATAAAATAAAATTCAAATAGAATTCGAATTTAGAGAGAAAAAATTCCCACAGCACCCAGTCGGGAATCGAACCCGAGATCTCCCAGTTAGAGGATTAAGTCTGGAAAAGAGGATGGAAACATATATGTTTCCATATATGTTTTAAAAACATACATGTTTTTACTGATATTTGAAAAATTTAATTGATTGTTCCTGGAAGTACCCAGAGTAATTCTCTAAAAGTGTCAAATTCCTTTTTTTTAAACATTGTATAGTTTCATCATCAAATCCGTATTGAATTGTGGGAGAATATCCTCAAGGATAGCGTAATGAACCTCTCCCAATGTATTGAAATCAACTTTCTATTATTCACTCTAAAACTAATGACACGAGAAATTGAATAGTAAATCCACTTTTGTTTACTCATCGTTTTTACGGTGTATGAAATTGTCAGATGCTTTGAGTCTTTCATTACAGAAGAAAAATTTCAATTTCTGGGGCATGTCACTAATTTTTAGGAATCTGTCAGCAATTGTTGGCAATATTGGACGCTGATTAGAATAACCCTCATCATTTTTAGCGTTCTTGTTGCACCCAAAATCCGTAAATGACGACGAAAATCAACGAACCTGTTGCGTTTTGTTAATTACATGGGACACAAAGAATGATATGCGTTGATTTTTAGGGACATGTCACTGATTTCCAGAAATCTATAACCAATTATTGGTGATACTGGACACGGTTTAGGATAGGGATATAACGGGCAAAGCTGACCGGTCAATTTAATGTCATTTTACACGAAGAAGAATATTCAATAAAAATTACGTATCTTTTCCTTAATTCCGGAGTAAAATGTGGTTTTGGGAAATTTTACGAAACTGTCACGGAATTTTTCCAGAGCATTCCATAATTTTTATCTGAATCTCTTGTGAAAAATTACGATACCGTCACTGAAATTTTCTGCGTTGATTCCGTAATCGGTGAGCGAGTTGGGAGTCTCGTAATTTTTACTGAACATTTCTCTCCGTGCACACGTAAATTACACGTCACTGACCGAAAAGCAATTGCTGACCATTTTTGGCCCGAAAAAAAGTGACGGAATTTCGCGTCACAAAAATGACCAAAGAAAATCTAGACGGTCATTTAAATGTGAATTTCAGTTCAATTCAACTCTGAAAATTGATAAAAATCTGGAAAATTCCGGTAAATATATTCTTGAAGTTTCAATTAATTCAAAATTCATTCTAACTCGGCTCTAATATTCATGATTTCATTGAACATTCAAATAGGTTGAGGAATTCTCATCTCAATACTGTTAAACAATTTAGAATGTCATTGAATTTCCAGTGAAACATGAAAGTTCATGATTTTTCCTTTTTAAATTGAATTCAATATCGCTCTCCTGCAAATTGCTAGTCGAATGTCTACGAAATTTCAATTTTTTTCTAGCCGTGTAAATTCCTAACAATTATTAATGAATCTCTGAAAATCCGTGACATCTCCCTGAAAATCATAACGTTCTCTTCTCTGTGATATTCGGACAGATCCAAGAGTCTTACTCTATATAATTTGAGATGTCGGTTTCTCCGGAAATTCATGGAAGGTTCTGGAAAGTTATAAAAAACTCCAGACCGATACAGCAAAGTTCTGTGCAGGACTTTTTACATTAATTTTATCTAATTTTTTCGTAAAATTATCGGAAAAAATTATGAAAACTTCTCGATTCATTTGAAAGACAATATTTTACAATTTTCCGGACTTTTCTAGCATTGCACCAAACGCACTAATTAATAAAGAGAATAAATAACTCACGTATAGTGGGAATAAGAGGGACTGGCCTGTTCGACGTGAGGGGCAGTTGACAGCCCCTGCACGACGGCACCAGTCTGTTCTCTACTCGGTGATGAGCTCTGGACTCCTGGTACAGCGTGATGGTATCGCTGGCACATTTCGGCCAAATTCCATCCATGGGTATCCATATATCGTCACTACTTCGTTTATACGTGGTGTAACATCCATCTCACCGGGCTTTTACACCACTTGCGGGGTCCTCATACGTCGTGACACGACCGACGGCTGACGGAAACCTGGAAACGCAAGAAATAAAATTGCAGGAATTAAAAAATGAACGAAAACTAAAAATAATCCTGTACAATCGGTAATCGAAGGGCAAACTTGTGTTTCATTGTGTTTGTGATTTTCATTTGAAATCTAGGAAAGAACCTGAAGGGAGGGATAAATTTTCCGGTTTGAATACCAATTTTTCGCAGACGAATAGTCAAATTCATCAGGTTTTTATGAAAGAGTATTTAGTCCTGAGTTTAATCTATTTGTTTCTGACAATTTTCATGCTCATGAAAACACGTACGAAAAAAATTATAGAGATAATTTCTATTAGATAATTCCACTAGAAATTACATTAATTTTTTATCGCAGAAATAATCCGCAGCTTTTTTGCGCATTTTTTAAAATAGAAATTGTCAATAGGAACTTTTTTACAGAAAAAAAATCAGTGGAATTTGATCTTTCTGTAGATCCTTTCCTATTCAGATACTTTGAGAAGCTTTGTAATCGTCCATTTTGATGATCTTCTAATTTCACTTGGAAATGATGTAGAATGTCATGAAACGTGAAGACATGATGTTTTTATGAAATGTGTGTATGTATGTCCGTATGTATGTGCGGATTTTTTTGATTTTTTTTTTAATCTTCACGAAACAAGTGGAGAATGGCATTGTCTTAATAAATTAGTACACTGTTAAAAAATTTTCACTGAAGTTTCCAGGCTTTAGTCTTGAAATGTGAAACAAGTGACAGTTTCATTGAAATTTCAAGGAATTTTACAATTGAAAATTCGTGGTTTTCGTGGAAAATTCATGAAAATATTGAATTTCAGCTAAATTATTCCATAAAAATTAATAGAAATCAGGAAAATTCAAGCAAAAATGTTCTTGAATTTTCAATTTTTTGAAATTTCAGAGCAATTTCTTATTGAATTACCATGTTTACATTGAAAATTCATGGAAATTTCAAATTTCAGCTAAATTATTCCATAAAAATTAATAGAAATCAGGAAAATTCAAGCAAAAATGTTCTTGAATTTTCAATTTTTTGAAATTTCAGAGCAATTTCTTATTGAATTACTATGTTTACATTGAAAATTCATGGAAATTTTAAATTTTAGCGAAATTATTCCATGAGAATTAATAGATATTAGGAAAATTCAAGTAAAAATGTCCTTGAATGTTCAATTTTTTGAAATTTCAGAGCAATTTCTTATTGAATTACCATGTTTACATTGAAAATTCATGGAAATTGCGGAATCTTCATGGTTCCTCCACTGAAAAATCAAGAATTTCCTTAAATTTTCAGGGAAACTTGAAGTTTCATAGACTCTTTTCCATTAAATTGGATTCAGTGTCATTTTCTGGAAAATTCAGTTAAATTTATTTAACAGTGTATAGTAATTGTCACTAATACATTAGTAATTTACTTCCGAACGGGTTCTCTTTCTTTCAATTCTTATTTCACTATTCTCTTCTATTTTCTTATATCATAGTACTATCATCAATTGAAATGTCATTAAAATTCTGCGTATTATTTCGTTCTGTCAAATAATTCTACATTCAGACCGTCTCAAGACTCGAATTCGTTTTCAAGACGGGTTTATTCAAGGTTCAATCAAGGTTTAATCAGTGTATAGCGGGGATTTAATCAGGGTTTATTCAGGATTTAGCCAGAGTTTAACCCAGGTCCTGTCAGAAGTTAGTTGGAACCATGAATCAATATGTGTGGGTTCGAATCCCACTTCTGACACCAATTGAAAAGGCCGTGGAATTAATAAAAAGGGTTTATTAAGGTAAAGGGACGAGAGGAAAAGAATCAGGGAGAAAAACAACCTGAAGACAAACTAGAAAGGAAACAATAGAATAGAAGCTAAGTTCAGAGGAGGGATTTAGAAGGGAAAAGGGAGAAAAGAAGACCAACGCGGTAGAATGTAACCGCGAGATCGATATTCGTAACAATATGAATAAGTATTCAACGTAATAGACTAGTACCTGAGTTTCATAGAGATAGAGATTTTGATGTAAAAAGCTCATGACGGTATTGCGTAACTTGATAAGCAATGATACTGTTCTCACCATTTTTCAACTTGATTGAGAAGGCATTGAAATGTACTTTTCGTGAGAAGACCCGGTAAACCGCGATTCTAACCTCGCTTCGCTCGGTTTGATCACGGTTTACGGGCTTTCTGACGAAAAATTGCATTCATCACACGGTCCAAAAGTATTTTCTGACGAATGTGATTATAGGCCTCGCCTTCGGCTCGGCCTACAAAGCCACATTCGTCAGAAAATACTTTGTGAACCTTATGATGAAAATAACTATTTCAAGTCCTGATTTAATTGCTATTACTGATGATTCCATCAGTAATCATGAACAAACCGATTTCCTCTTCCAAATGGTATGAACAATGTGCTGTAACTCAACAACGAATTGTGCGACCCCCATCATATTCTGATAGAATCAAGAGGGTATTGTTATCAATTTTTTGAGTCATGACTAATTTAATTTTTATGACAATTTTTTGAGTGATCGTTGAAAAATTGATTTTCCGAAAAATCTTTTTTTTTCAAATCCGTACGAAAAATGAAATTTCAATTGGTGTTAATGAATACAGCTTATTAAAGTCTACATGAAAAAAAAAAATTCTGTGTCAATGAATACAGCTTATTAAAGTCTACATGAAAAAAATCTTAAAATTCAATTAATCCCTCATAAATTTTTTTTTAAAAAAACCACATATATAGACACGTACATACAGACACCATCTAAAAATCGTATGTTTGGACTTGTCAGACCATATTTAATTATCCTAACTCAAAAAATTGTAAACTTAAATTTGAACGATTACAAATCTTCCATTCGGAAGCGAAAGGGAGTAAAAATCAAGTTAAAAATGTGAAATTTTGTGGAATAATTAGCATTACTTGGGAGCACATCTGGATGACATACAGCTCAATCTGTCAAGCCATTTTTCAGATCTAGCAATTCCTCGAAAATCTTTTTTCCCCGATATCTCAATTAAATGTTTTTGACGGCAAAATATTCTTTATCATAATACCCATCCAAACAAGTTGTTATATCTTCACTTAACCAGTGACAACTTGGTAATAATTGGTATTTTTCATGTTTTCTCGACAAAAATTCTCGAAAAAATTGAAATAGGAATTTGAAATTTGGTACGATTGTAGTTCTCGTGATATTATAGGATGAGATTTTGGATAGGCGAAATCGAATATGTAGCTTAGATAAAGATATATTCAACTTTTTGTGGAACACTGTTTTGCTCGTAATCTCCTAAACTACTGGTCCGATTTTATTTTCATTTTTTTCAAAATACGCATCTTGCAGTCTTCTATTAATATCAATTGAAATATGACCCACCGTTGGTACGAATTTCTCAAAATATTTACCTTTTTACTATTTTTTCACTTGAGAGTGAATTTCAACATGTTTTTGCAAAAAAAATCAAACAAAAAAACAGAAAATTAAAGCCGAAGAATTTCTGTAGAAGATAATTTGATAGAAAATCGAATCTCAGAAAATCTCTCTCAATCGAATAGAATTGGCGAAAAACTAATACTTTTCTCAATAGAACTCTTGTAGAAATGTAATAAAATTTTTTCTATCGATTTTTTTTAATACGTGAATTTATTTCACCATTAATAATTTTTCTGCAAACATTATTTCGTTAGAAAAAGCAACCTCTTAATTGGCTGGAATTCATTAAAGACCTCGATTTTTAGCCTATAATGCGCAGGATCAATCTCTGAAGATCGATATCGTTTTATTAGACATCTAGATCAATTTCTTACTGAACTAACGATTATCCATCCCGCTGGTATTCTCGAGAAAATTATAGAGAATAGAATTTCTCCGGTCTAACCCACTCGCTCATTGATTAAATTATTGATGAGAAAAATTGATATAATAATTCCTTCAACATTGAATTTTTTTCACAATTTACCTCACGAAGTTTTATTGATAGCGAGGCAGATCGAATCTCTCGAGTTACTCAATTATCATTTTTTTTCAATTAATGAAAGAGCAAATGAAAATGCACAATAAACATCACAATCAGCATCGTAATTCGCTTGATACGATGGTTTATTCTTTATTATTTCGTTCCTGGTAATGCAACACGACACCTGGCATTCCTCACTTTTATACCGTCTTTCATCCTTGTAAATGACATCGAACCGCACATCGATACAAACTGGAGACTAGCTGTGAGGAGGCTATATATCTGTGAATCGATCTCCCCGTGCATGATTGTTATTGCGTTGTCTACTCCGTTAAAAAAGATGAACGATAAAAATTAATGACAATAAAATTGTAAAAACGTCTCACATTAAAAAATTTGAAGTAAACTCTCACATTTTATGGAATGGAAAAATTAAGTAGACACGAATAGATGTAATAAAACAACTTTCAAGAAAATTGCTTGAAGTGAAATAAAAAACGGAATAAATAATTAAAAATAAAACAATTGGGTAAGATAAGCGATTGGCTCGAAATATTCTGTTTGAAGTAAAATCTTTCGAAAAATATGAATAGATAATAAGAATATTCTCTCTGGAGGAGTTTTATTTGAAGCAAAATCTTCGATTTCATGTCGAGATATAAAACAAAGTGGAAAATTAAAGATTGTCCAGCACAAGTAGAATAAAAATGAAATGAAATATTCCTTAAAAACTCATGTCAAGACACAAAAATTAAATAATGAACAATTTAAAAATTATACTCCACCGCATGTGGAATAAGCAATGAAAATCAACTTCATTTGAAGTGCAATAGAAACGGAATAATTAATGAAAAATGAAACGATTGGAGGAAGTAAAAGATTGAATCAAAAAATTCTATTTGAAATAAAATCTTTTGAATAATATAAGTAGAAGAATGAAATGAAGAATATATTTTCTTGAAAACTTTTATTTGATGCAAAATCTTCAATTTCATGTCAAGATGAAATTCCCTGGAAACTTGTATCAAAATAAAAAAACCGTATGAAACATAATTTTTAAAAAATCCAACCAGACAGAGCAAGCAATAAATAATGAAATCCATTCGATTTGGATGAAATAAAAACTGAATAGTTAATAAAAAATAAAATGATTGGACGAGACAAGATTGAATAAAAAATTTTATTTGAAGTCGAATCTTCCGAACAACTCGAGTAGAAGAAAGAAATGAAAATGATATTCTCTTGAAAAACTTCACTTGGAGGATAATCTTCATTTTCGTGTTATTGAGATAGAAAATAAATAAACATTATTGAGACATAAAGTAAATAAATAAAATTTGTCCAGTGCAAATACAATTTCAAAAAACGGCAAAATTGAAAATTGTCCAGCAAATGAAATAAAAATAGATGAAAAAAATCCGCAGAAATTTGTTTCAAGACAAAAAAAAACATAAAAAACTATTAAAAACTTAAATTTCACTGCACACAGAGCAAGCAGTAAAAATCTATTCCATTCAAAGAGAGATAGACTTAATAAATAATAAAAGCTGAAACAATTGAATGAAATAAAAGATTGGAAAGAAAAATTTTACTTGAAAAAAAATCTTCAGTTTCATGTTAAAAAATGAAACAAAGTGAAAAATTGAAAATTGTTTAGCATAAATAAAACGAGAATAAATGGGAAAATTCCTTGCAGACTCGGGTCAAGACAAAAAATCATATAAAAAACAATCAATAGCACATTCGAGCACTAGGGCACAAATTCTCGTTTCGCCGAATGTGGACTTTACAGGCCGAAGGCGAGGTCTGTACTCACATTCATTGGAAACAAAATTTATGCCCGAGTGTTCTATAATATTTCATGTCACTCCGTGCAGAAGTCGAGTCTGAAGCACGCTGCGCGAAGCGCAGTGGACTGAGCAATAAAAATTCATTTAATTTGAAGTGGAATAAGAACTAAATAAAGAATCAAATATAAAACAATTGGACGAATTGAAAGATTCCACAAGAAATTTCTATTTGAACTAAAATCTTCCGAAGACCATGAGTAGAAGAAGAAACGCAAAATACATTCTCTTAAACAAATTTATGTGAAGCGAAATGTTCATTTTTATGTCAAGACACAAAACAGTGAAAAATTATAAATTGTCCAGTTCAAATGAAATAAAAATAAAAATTCCGTAGACACACCTGTCAAGACAAAAAATCAAACGATAAAAAATTGAAAAATATTTCCCAACATGTGGAATGAGCAATAAAAATACATTTCATTTGAAGTGGAATAATAACTAAATAAATAATCAAAATTAAAGTAATTGGACGAAATGAACGAATTGGAGAAAAAAATTCTACTTGAAGCACAATCTTCTAAAAACCACGAGTAGAAGAATAAAACGAAAAATACATTCTCTTAAACAAATTTATGTGAAGCGAAATGTTCATTTTTATGTCAAGACATGAAACAAAATGAAAATTATAAATTGTCCGGTTCAAATGAAATAAAAATTAAAATCCTATAGACCTCCATATCAAGAAAAAAAAACTAAACAATCAATATCAAAAAAATCATATTCCACAACACGTGAAATAAGCAATAAAAATCCATTTCATTTAAAGTAGAATAATATCTAAATAAATAATCAAAAATAAAACAATTGAACAAAATGAAAGATGGCAGAAGAAAATTCAATTTGAAGCAAAATGTTCATTTTCATGCCAACACATGAAACAAAGTAAAAATTATAAATTGTCCAGTCCAAACGAAATAAAAATAAAAATTCCACAGACACTCGTGTTCAAGATAAAAAACCAAACAACAAAAAATTTTAAAAATATATTCCCCGACACGTGGAAGAGCAATAAAAAATCTCCCAGACAATCGCATATTTCCAGGAACAAATTGTCCAAAAAAATTCTCGAATCTAAATAAACGAATGCTCATTTCCTCTAATTAAAGGATTTATCTGACTTAAAAAAAAAACAAGAATGCAGCGTACTCGTTCACTATTCCCTACACCCACGTAGTTTACCCAGCGGTGAATTTCTTGCTTATTATCCTTCCCTCCGATTTTCACCGTAAAAGTAACTAAACATGAAGGCAAAAAAAAGGAGGGACAAGAGAAAATTGAGTAAAAAATTGGCATAACCCTGTGTGCGGAGAGTGGAGGAATGACTCACGCATTGAGCCGCCGTACAATAGAATCCACGCGTGATTTACAGCTCATTATCGAGTTTAACGTTCGGCCCAACATTGTTGTCGATAAATTAACGATGGCTCGATTCTTCGTGCTTTTTAATTGCAATGATTGACACATTTATTTATTCATAAACAATGAAGAAATCACAGTTTATCGACAAATATTACCTTTTCCACTTGTCTCGAATTCTCCACTCTCCTCTAGATCATCAATAATCAATAAATCAAACCAGACGAACAGATCATCAAACTCACAACACAAAAATGTCCTCAATGTTTTCCTAAATCACTGAAATGTAGGAGATGTATTTCCCCCATGGTGGATCACTCATTCTCCCAGAGTTCATCGATAAATCACTCAATATAGAAAAAGTCCAATGAACACAAACTGAGTAATCACTAATTAATCACGAATAACAGTCCAACAGGAGCGCTGCTATCGAAATAAACAATAGAGGCAATCCTTTTTGACACATTTATTCAATTCTCATAAAATTTTCCCCTCGGGGGAGGGGGAGGGGGGCAAAATGTCAAACGACGTCGATACACCCGCGGTTGCATTCAGCAACGTCGCTCGCGTGGGAGTGTGACATAATACAACGTTTGTACGTGGCGATTAGCCGCACGAGTGGGCGTACGAAAAATCACAGGGGAAAATGAGAAATTTTTGATGATGAATTTTGGTTAAATTCCGGTTTATTCACACAGAGCACAGGATTTTTTCTTGCATCGGTGGATAATTTTGCGGTATTTTTTCGATTTTATATGTTTTGACGGGGGGAGTACGGCACTTTGACAGCGTGTTGTCGAGCGTGGAGTTGCTTTTGAATGCGAGATGATACGTAGGAACGACGGGGACAGCACGAAGGTGCGCGTCGCACTGTGGGCGGACCCGCAGGCGCCGCGAATACCGACCGATTTCGTTTCGCGGCTCGAACTTCTCCCACTTCTCTCGTCTCTTCCTCCCCCACTTCTTTCGCGGGTTTATCTCTCTATCTTCGGGGGATCCTCAGTGTTTTGATGCGCAAGGAGAAATTACCGTCAATTTATTTTCATTTAATTTTCATTTTTTTATTGAATTAGACGAAAATAAAGATTTGTTTTTTAGTTTTTTGTTTTGAATTTTTTTGTGGAGTTTGATTGAGGTAGACTTTATTAATTCAATAATAGTTTTTGTTATTTTGTTGCAGAGAATTGTTGAGAATTTTTGGGGAGAACGAAAAAGAAGGATGGAGTTTTTTATTTTGTTTAATTAATTTTTTAATTTTATTTTATGGAGATTGATTGAGGGAGACTTGATTAGTTGAGTAATGGGTTTTGTTGTTGATGTTGCGAGAACTATTGTGAGAGTTTGGGAGAACGATCGAGCATGCACGACTAGACTGCGTATGAATGCGGCGCGCAGGAGTGTACCGGGATCTATGGCGCATCGGCACAGGCGGCACTGAGCACATAGGGCGCCTAGGTCTAACCTATACACTGTGAGGTAACTGTGCTGGGTTACAACGCGCATGCGTGGTAGATTGTTCTATTGCGGTAGGACGAGGTATTGAAATGTTAGGGGGGTCCGCGCTGGGTATTCCTCAATCACATCCTGAATTCGTACTTATTCTGTATATGAATGGAAAATGTGGAGAGAAAAAGTTTTAGTTTTTAGAGATATATCTGCACGTGGAAAATAGTTGGAGAAAAATTGCTGTATGCATTTATTTATTGTTTTTAGGCTGTTATAAATTTTTTGAAATTTCAGTCAATATCATCTGAATTTTCAATGTTGTGAGTTTGTATTCAATTTCAAATGAAAACGTTCGCTAAATTTTTCAGGTATCTTGAAAATTCCAAAAAATCGGGGTTTTCATATTAAAGAATCATTGATTTTTCAATGAAAGCTTGAATTTTCAAACTCATCGTGAAAATTGAACATTACATACAATTCAATTTTCAATAGATTGAAAATTCAGAGAAGTTATTGCTGGAATTTTCAAAATTTCCAAGGTTTTTCAGTACCGTATGGACCTGAATATCAAGAATTACTTGAACATTCAAGAAATTAACTGATTCGTCAATGAAGAATTGAATTTTCAATAGATTGAAAATTCAGAGAAATTATTGCTTGAATTTTCAAAATTTCCAAGGTTTTTCAGTACCGTATGGACCTGAATATCAAGAATTACTCAAACATTCAAGAAATTAACTGATTCGTCAATGAAGAATTCTACAGAAATTTCGTGTAACTTTGTCGTTGTTAAAAATGTGACGCTTTTTCACTGGAAATTTCGAGAGTAATTTTCTAACTGTGCAGATAATTCGTCTATTAGTCATGTTTGAGACTTTTAAATTCGAACTAAACAATTTTTTTTTGCAATTTCAATTAACGATTTTGTTGGAGCAAATAAGACTTGTTTTGAGAACTTATTCTTTTGCAGCAACACCACAATTTTCCTAGAGAATTTCTCTCTGAGTAGTCGAAAACGCAGTGGCTACAGTAAAACTGACTATTTTCAATAAAAGTTACGAAAATTACGAAATTTAAGGCCCGGGTGGATTATCTTTCGAACGTTCTCTGGATTGTTTTTCCATCTTCATAATGTAAAATATATCACAATTTCCATTGGATTTTACATCACCCACGAGTCCTGAAAAATTACGACTGTACAATCAAAAACAGTAGAAAAAACCAACTGAACATTTTCAAAGGACGTTTTGAGTAAAGAAAAAGAAGTAAGTCCGATATAGCGGAAATAATGAATGGATAATTTATCACGGTAACTAAGGAACTGATAGCCATTGACTACTGTGACGAATGACGACCTAACCGCCATTAGATACATCAAATTATTAATTTGCAATTTCCTCCCTATTGGGTTTATTTCCCACTATTATTCAAAAACGCTCTTTGAAAATGTTCAGCTTTTTTGCAATCTTTTTTTGATTGTACAATCATAATTGTTGGAGTCTCCACACTGAGAGAAAAACGAACACGTTGTCAAACAAGTCTTGTTTGGGGCAACAAAATCGCTAGTTGAAAATTGCCAAAAAAGAATTTGTTTGGTTCGAATTTGAAAGTCTCAACCATGAATAATTGTTCTGCTTTCGACCGCAACGAAATATTTGGCTCAAGAGGCGGATAATTCACACCAGACGGTGTCTTTTCAGGATACAAATGTCTCATATAGAGGAAAATTTATCAACAAATATTTTATCCCCAAGTTATAAGATTGCTATAATATAATTATTATTGTTTCATTGAAGGGTTCATTTCTTGTCTGTGATTATTAGACAGCCGAAACGAAAAACTACTATCCCTTGTTTCGCATAAAACAAAGATTTTTCGGGAGCACAATACGTATGGGAGTATCGAATAACAAAGGAGTAGTGTTAAAATAGTTATTTTCATCACAAGGTCCACAATTCGGCTCGGCCTGCAAAACCACATTCGTCAGAAAATACTTTTGGACCGTGTGCTGAATGCAATTTTTCGTCATAAAAAATCGCGGTTTACCGGGCCTTCTCACGAAAATGACATTTATGTCACTAGGCCCGATAAACCGCGATTCTAACCTCGCTTCGCTCGGTTAGATAGCGGTTTTCGGACCCAACGACATAAAATATCGTATGCCACACACCTTCGGCTCGGATTATAAAGCCACATTCGCCAGATAATGCTTTTATCGCCTATATAATGACATAATCTACTATTCTTGCGTGTACAGAGAATGCAATTTTTTTTGAACTACTAAATCTATTTTTGCGACAAAAATTTTTCATTCCGGCGCACTCTCTGCATGTTAGCTCTACAAAATAGTATATTTCGTAACGAGTGCAAAAAATATTTTTTCACGGGTTACGAACAATAATTTTCATCACAATGTGGCGGAAATTGGACTTTTAGGCACGCGGAGCGTGCCGAAAAGTTCACTTTTTGTCACAGCGTGATGAAAAAATTCTTTTTCGATAATTTTCAAAAAAATATTTTAACTTTGTCGTTTTTCTCCCAGTGCAGGGCTACGTGAAACTAAATAGCAATTGGATATCATTTCAGATTATCAAAATAAAAAAAACAAACAAGATCACATTCGAAAGATAATCCACACGGGCCTTAAACTTTTTAATAGATTTTGAATGGAATAGAATAGATGAAGATGATGGACAGCGGCGATAAATGACTAATTGAACATTCCCTCGTCGCAGAATTGCTTTCGTACATCCCCCGGTGCAATAAACACTCGGGAATACATAATCAGTTGTCCCAATTATCGACTTGTTCTCAATTTTTCGTTTCCTCGACCGCGATAGGAACAAATTATCAATCAATTCGTTTCCAGGTCGGGAGTGCGATTCAATACCAACATCAATTCTCCATGCTCAGCCAGCAAATGTACACATTACTGAATGAATAGAACTGAAAAATATTTGATTTATTATCGTTACAACTGAATTTTGGTATACACGCCGTCGGGTATACCCGCCGAATAGATCGCCGTTAACATTACATAATTACGAGCGTAGGAAGCGGATCGATTAGCACACGAAGAGAAAGGCCGTCTCTCTCACTTTGGATTGGCCAGAGACTCATGTGAATCACCGCGGGGGTCTACTCCTAGATCCGCGGGATGGTTAAGGCTCATGTGATGTTTGAAGAATAATTAAAATTCTGGGGGAGACAGACACTATTGCAAATTCATTGACAATCACCAGACATTTAGACGAAAATGTTGAAAAAATTTTCATTACCCAGAGATGAAAATAGGGGAATTAATTCATAAAATTTTTTGGCTTCCGCATGAAAACTTTGTATTCGTTAAATACGAAATTTCAAATTTTTTGTGGCAGGATAAGTAATTCAGTAGCGGAGCGGTAAAACGGTTTAAATCGATTTTGACTATTGCCCAGTTTTCAACGAATATCTCGAAATTTAAAGAAGATAGCAAAATTTTCGTCATGACCTTTCTTGTACCCCTCAGTTGGCTCTGCAAAAAAGGTAATTACGAAAATTTCTTTATCTCCCTTAGATTCGGAGATATTCCTCGAAAACTCATCTATAGACTACATTGACTTGAAGCGTTTTACCGCTTTGCTACTGAATTTTGCCCTCAAGAGTTCAAATATGCTATTTTTAGATCATGTCCGGATATATGTATGTGTATACGTGACCGATCGTTTTGCGAGGATAATTGACAAAATCCTTTCTAAAAAAAAGCACGGGCCACGAACGAGTGGAGAAAGTGAGGCGGTTTTCATGAGTACAATCGTCTACCCAGAAATTTTCATGAAGCCCACCTAACAAACAAAGACGAATTGAATACTATTCTATGGGCTTCATGACTAAATAACTTTGCAAAAATGACTTCACAAAAACAACTTCGAAAAAACATTTTCGACAAAAATAACTTCGT